TGTGATGTATGAGAATTTCTATCACACAGTGCCAGCAATGGCATCTAAGATACATTGGTGAGTGGCTGCATCTTGATCTTTTGAGTGAGACCTTAGTGACTCTTTCTCTGCTTTACATTTGGTTGTAAATCTCCTGTGCCTGGAGGAGTCCTGTGCAGACTGGGGCATCCCAGGGTCCTGCTTCTCCCCGGTGATAACGCCGCATAGTGCCACATTGATGCAAGTCACCAGCACCCCGGGCAATCGGAGTGTTTTACCCCTTTTGTTCTTGCAGCCCGGTGTGCAGCATCCATCTGATCCTCAGATTAAATGGTCACATCACAACCCACGACATGAGGATGAGCCAGGGTGGCTGGATCTGCTTTCTGCTCTGAATCCAAAGAATGATCATCTGGAAAGACTCAGGCGCAGGGATCCAGATTTGTCCTTTCTCTGTAATTCCACACAAGAGCAGAGTACATGGACAGCATGATTAGGAAGCCAGTAGAAAATGATTATAAAGGCCAATCTCAGCTGCTTATAAAGGCACAAGTCAACCTCACAGGCTCCAAAACTGTCCCATATGATAAGAGAGAGAGGAAAGAAAATTTACCTTACTGTCTCCCAAGTACATGCAGCTGTCACTTCTGTAGGGCCTTGGTGGCAGGGTGTCAGGTGAGAGTGTTCAGCACAAAGTTCTGTTGGGAGCAGGTATGATTTGAGACACATGTGCCAATGGAAGCAGAATTTCCTGCTCAGCTGCTGCCCTTATCAAAATTCTTTTGGTGAGTGGAGAAATGGGCCTCAGGAGACCTTAAGCCCTGAAGCCAAATGGCAATAATATAGCATTGATGAGCCACCTAATTCCATTTACCCTGTCTGCAATAGAAGTGGCCTTAGAACTCAAAGGCACTCGTGATGGGATGCTCTCATATGGCCAGTAAGATTCTTGGTGAGTCACAGGAGACCTGGTTCTGCTGTTTGGGAGTGTTTTGTTTTGTTTTGTTTTTACAGTTGGAAAATGAAGTACAAGATGCAGACACTGCTAGGAAAAAACATCAGGAAAAATAATCTGCCAAAGCAAACTGATGTACAAAAGAAAAGCACCTCATTTGTCATCAGCTCTCTTCCAGGTTGGCGTGCTAGTAACAAAAGGAAAGTCTTTTCCTAATGGCCTCTGGAAAACCTGTCCCCTGGGCCACCCAGTGCCCATGTCCACCCAGCGCCCGTGTCACCAGAAGACACCTGTGTCAGCTGCACTTAGGCCTTTGCAAATACTGTTTAGTTTCTAGCACTTCCCCTGGCCAGCCCAAGGAGAGCCGCTTCAGGGAAAGTGCAGAAATCCCAGTGGGGAGTGATGCATGTGGCATATCTGTGCCCTCACTGCTCTTCTAGCCCAGCTCGGCTGCCGTGTCGCTTCCTGCTCTGCAGTGCACTGACACGTTCCTCTCCGTGGCAGAAACATATTTTTAAAGATCACCCAGCGGAGGAGCAGAAAATGATTGGTACTGCAGCCTGCAACTTATCAGGAAAATGATGGCTGGCAGCGCCCAGCCGTGCAGCAGGAGGCGGCCCGTTTGCAGAGGCTGTTCCCGGCACATGGCTGCAGGCAGGCCGGGTGCTGCACCGAGGAACGGGGGAGCTTGCGGGCACCGAGGAGCGGGCAGCGCAGTGCATAGCGGCTGGCCTGTTCCGGGCTGTTGCGCCTCTCCCTAGCTGTAACATGGGCACTAAGCAGGAAGAGAAAGCTCCTCCATGAGAACATGCCACCCTGCGGCAGCGCTAGCCCCGGTAGCCCACGAAGCCCACCCGGCTCGTGCTGCCTGGCTGGATGCCTGGCTCCGTGGGGCAGCACCACGCGCTGCGGTGCCATGGAGGAGCACAGGTCACAAGCCAGAAGAACCTTCTGTTGGTTTTTGGGATTATGTTACTTTTTTTTCCAGTCAGATTTGAAGATTCTACCAGCAGCTGTGAAGGGTATTTCTTTCTAAATGAAAGCTGATCTCATATGGCAGCAATAGAGAAATACAAATCACTGTGAAGGCTGGCAGTGCTTTTTTCTGGCCACTTTTTTTTCTCATGTTGTCCAAAACTCCGACGAGAGAGAGAGGGCCTTACATGTGAAGGGCTAGTTTAATGTTGTTACAACCCCTGGGAGTGTGTCTGCCTCCCTACGCGGGGAATGAAATGGACATGACGTGGCATCTTTCGGGGGCAGGAAGTTCGTTTTTCCCCAGGACCAGCAGAGCAGGGTGCTGCAGCACTGCAGGGATGCCAGAAACCCATTGAGAAAGGCTGGGGCTGCTGCACAAGCCGCCCATTTGCCTCTGCCGGCTGTTGTGCCGTCCGGCAACGGTGCAGATGTGCTGTGCGTGGAGCGGAGCCGAGCTGGCGGCTCACCCTGCGCTGAGTCGGATTTGCAGCGATGCAGAGGGAGAAGCAGCAGAGCAGGAGGCCTCGGCAGCCGCGTGCGCAGTGAGAGGCCGCGCGGAAGCCGGCAGCGCGGAGCTCCCTCCCCTGCGCGGCTCCGTGTGCGCGGGCTGCTCCGCAGGCAGCAGTCGGCATTGTCCAGCTTCAGCCTTTCCTTAAAGCGGTGGCTGTGCTGTCATTTATGAGCTACAGAGATGGAGAGACCTACTTTCCCCCATTAATAGCTTCAGACAACAGAAGCTCCCAAATACCAGCTTAGCTGTGTGTGTTGCATTCTTAGCGGTAGCCTTGCAGCTGAGAGCTTCAGTGCAAAAGATGCACCGTTCTCCCAAACATTCTTATCTCTA